CACACGTGGCTATGGTTGCTCTCCCTATTTCAAAATGCTTTTCCTCAAAATTATCTGACCCTATAAAATTCCTTTATCTTTGCACACAGCACAAACTTTGTCTAGCACGTGCTCATAAGAAAATGCTCATTTTCTCCATATTAGCTCTCATTCCATCCTTGCTTTCCTGTGCTCGCTCCTCTCAGATTTGAATGGGTTTTTCTGCTGTTTGGATGCTCCTGGGTCCTGTCACACATTGTGTGGCTGCTCTCCAGAGTTATGGAGCTCTTTCCCCTATTTCAAAATGTTTTCCCTCAAAATGCTATCTGACCCTAAAAAACGCCTTTATCTTTGCACACAGCACAAACTTTGTCTAGTAGGATCATTTTCTCCATATTAGCTCTTATTCCAGAGAGTGAGAGTCTCAGATTTGAAAAGGTTCTGCTGCTGTTTGGATGCTCCTGTGTCCTGTCATACATTGTGTGGCTGCTCTCCAGAGCTATGGAGCTCTTTTCCCTATTTCAAAATGCTTTCCCTCAAAATGTTATCTGACCCTATAAAAGTCGTTTCTCTTTGCACACAGCACAAACTTTGTCTAGTAGGATAATTTTCTCCATATTAGCTCTTATTCCATCCTTGCTTTCCTGTGTTTGCTCCTCTCAGATTTGAAAGGGTTTTGCTGCTGTTTGGATGCTCCTGGGTCCTGTCACACGTGTGTGTGGCTGCTCTCCAGAGTTATGGAGCTCGTTCCCCTATTTCAAAATGTTTTCCCTCAAAATGCTATCTGACCCTAAAAAACGCCTTTATCTTTGCACACAGCACAAACTTCTTCTAGTAGGATCATTTTCTCCACATTAGCTCTTATTCCATCCTTGCTTTCCTATGCTTGCTTCTCTCAGATTTGAAAGGGTTTTGCTGCTGTTTGGATGCTCCTGGGTCCTGTTGGGGACACGTGGCTATGGTTGCTCTCCCTATTTCAAAATGCTTTTCCTCAAAATGTTATCTGACCCCATAAAACTCCTTTCCCTTTGCACACAGCACAAACTTTGTCTAGTAGGATAATTTTCTCCATATTAGCTCTTATTCCATCCCTGCTTATCCCAAGCTCGCTCCTCTCAGATTTGGAAGGGTTTTGTTGCTGTTTGGATGCTCCTGGGTCCTGTCGGGCACACGTGGTTATAGCTGCTCTCCCTATTTCAAAATGCTTTTCCTCAAAATAATCTGACCCTATAAAATTCCTTTATCTTTGCACACAACACACACTTTGTCTAGTAGGATCATTTTCTCCATATTAGCTCTTATTCCAGAGAGTGAGAGTCTCAGATTTGAAAAGGTTTTGCTGCTGTTTGGATGCTCCTGGGTCCTGTCACACGTTGTGTGTCTGCTCTCCAGAGTTATGGAGCTCTTTCCCCTATTTCAAAATGCTTTTCCTCAAAATTATCTGACCCTATAAAACTCCTTTCTCTTTGCACACAGCACAAACTTTGTCTAGTACATGCTCATAAGAAAAGGATCGTTTTCTCCATTTTCTCCATAATAGCTCTTATTCCATCCTTGCTTTCCTGTGTATCTGGATGCTATGTAAAATATTTTTGGGGAAAAAGTCCTTTTTGCTTTTGTCTCCTCTTCAGATAATCTTACATTCGATGCACAAGTACCAGCCCCGTGTGCACGTCATCCGCAAGGATTTCAGCAGTGATCTCTCTCCTACAAAACCAGTTCCTTCAGGAGATGGGGTGAAAACCTTCAACTTTCCTGAGACTGTTTTCACCACGGTGACAGCCTACCAAAATCAACAGGTGAAGCTGTGTGCCTCCTTTTATGTTTTGTGTTGATAAAAAAATTTAGTGTGCCCTTTGTGACTGAGATATTAACTTCTCTAAAAAGGATGGAAAAATGTACAATTTAACAGGCTAGAAAAGAAAATCCTTGCTATGGGGTAGGTATAGACATGAAGTATCTACCCAGGAAAGCACCTTGAAGATAAGATGGCCATAGCTTTTACTGTAAAATAAATAACTGAGATCAAACATAAAGAGGTGTATTGTGTTCAAATTTCCTTGCTGCCTCATGGTACAAAACCACTGTCCTGTCCTCACTGTAATTTTGAGGCAGTACAGCTACTCCAGATCAGTTATCTCAGACTAAAAACGTTTGGGGTTTTCATAGCAGTGATGGAAAAAGGTTTGAAGCATCCCAGTCTCATCAGTTTGCTGACAAAATCAGCCTTTGAATGCATGAATTGCATATAAACTGAAATTCTCAGGAATGAATGTCTGGTGAGGAGTCAGGTGAGGAGTCAAGTTAAGCCCCTGAACTTTAGGAAATCAAACTTCCAGTTCTGCAAGGAGATGGTGAATTGGATCCCTTGGGATCCTGCCTTCAGGAACAGGGGATGGAACAGAGCTGGTAGATCCTTAAGGAAATTTTTCATAGAGGCCAGAAGTTAGCAATCCCCAGGAAAATGAAGGGCTTCTAAAGGTAAATTAACCAGAAAAGGAAAGTTAAAGAAGTTGTACCTGCCCTGGATAAAAAATGCTGGAAAACTGGTAACGATTGGTGATAAGGCTGAGGGACTTAACAACATTTTTGCCTCTGTTTTCAAATGAATGAGTCCCTCTTCTCATAGCATTTGAGTGGATTGACAGCAGGATGGGGACTGGGTAAGCAAAATGGCCCCCAATGTTGGTAAGGATCAGAAGAGAAGGCTTTGGGTGACAAAATTAAGGCCTTCCAGTACCAAAAGGGAGCCTAGAAGAAAGATGGAGAGACTTTTATCAGCGTATGTAGTGACAGGATAAGGAGGAATGGCTTCAAACAAAAATAAAATAGCTTTAGGCTCCATATTATGGCTTCAAACAAAAATAAAATAGCTTTAGACTCCATATTATAGCTTCAAACAAAAATAAAATAGCTTTAGACTCCATATTATGAAGGAGTTCTTGACTGTGAATGGGGTGAGGTACTGAACAAAGTTGCCCATTGAAGTGGAATTCTTTCTCCAGAGATCTCAACTTTGTTACTGATCTAAGCTTTTCTTAAACTAGACTTCATTTGGTGTTTTTGAACTGAAAGACAGACCCATATTAAGTCATCTTAAGGCAGATCACAATATTTAATAATTTCTAACAACTGTAAATTCTAACGATTTAGTGAAATCTTACCAAGTTTTTTATTTTGCAATAAAATCAGAGATCACATAAGCAGACAGTGCTCCCATGATTTCTTCTTTTTCTTCCCATAACTCCAAGATATTTTTTCTCAGTCTGGTCCCTTTGAACTGACTTATGTCAGGCTCCAAAATGGATCAAATGCATTACAACACAGTGGTTGGTTTGCTATCACTGCTGTATGGGAAATTTCCTGTCCCCTTGCCCAAATGCAGATGCTCCACAAATTTTAACTGTAGATCAGAGAAGGAAAGAGGATAAGAAAATGAGAAGAAATGACAGGAAATCAGCCTGTCATTCTTCCTTAATGATCAGATTTATAGGACATAATTACACAGAGAGTGAGGTGGATCTCTCAGAAGTTGCTGTTGTTCTGATATCTGGATGGCCATCAAGGGTTCTCTGCTCTGGATATTTTATTTTTTTGTTTCCTTTTTGTTTTTTTTTCAAACCATGGGACTGGCCCCATGAGCTGCTTCACTGTAAAGAAACACTGACATTTCTGTCTCTCTGAATTCCAAACTTTTGGGGATTTTGTTCAAAAAAATCTGGGGTGCACAATCCCATTTTTATAACACCAGCAAGGAGATTCTGGTGGGCTGGAGAAACCTTTTCATTAAAATCAAATTTAAATCCCCTGAATCTGCCTGCTTGCCCTCCAGTGGCTWTAAAGCTTTGCCTTACTGGGGGAAGAGTCTCTGGAAACAATTGTAAAATGTTAGCAAATCCACCACAGGGATTCCCTCTGCTGTAATTCCATCCTCCACACAACATATCTGTCTCTGTACACACAAGTCCCAGGACAGCTGCAAAGTCAGCCYGGCGGAAATTAAGTTCACAAATTAAGCTTCTGCAAAAATAGGAGCTGCATTCCAGATCTGAGGTTAATATCCAGAGGAAGGGCACGGTTCTGACAGAAGCAAAACACCTGCAAATCCCCTTCAGATCAGACTGTGTTAAACCAGTCCCTTCTGAGCAGTTTCAGCAAAACCACCTCAAATTTGGGAGGAAAGGGAGATTTCACTCTCCTTTAATTCCAAAGATTGAACCTCTAGGATAAGGTGAACCTGGCAGAGGGAATAACCAACAGGGAGTATAATATCACAGGCTGCAAGGTCAAAATCCTGGTGTTATATTCCATATTTAACA